TTTAAAGTGTAAATTGATGATAGTGAAAAAATAGCAGAAGGGAATGTACTGGAAAAAAACTCTTATAAATGCAAACATACATGAACTTGAATAAAAACCATTCTGAGCAGTTTTCTCTACCGTTTTTCTGCCAGATATTCTGGCATTTTTTCAGTCACATAGTATGCATGTACCCTAAATTGTGCTGTTACTAATTAAACAACACTAGAAGCCATACACACGTGGAAATAGGCCACACCAGGAACAAAATGTTCTTCTTTCTGTCTACAGTAGGAGCTTACCTACTTCATATATATGTAGCTCTCACCCCTTTAAGGACTGCTGGATTTTGATGGGTCCCTCTAAGCTCTGCATGACCAGGCAACATGCATTTTTACACATTTTCACACACAGAGTCAGTAAAACAGTAATTGAGCTTGTTTTTGTTGTTTTTATTAAGGGTTGACAACTTGGATGGGGTCAGGGGTATATGGGATGCCCAAGGAACTGAAACACTTGAGGACAACTTAACAAACACTTCACAAAATGTGGACCAAAAAGGGTTAAGAACTTGGATGGGGTCTAGTGGTATATGTGATGCCCAAGGAACTGTAAAACTTGAGGACAACTTTTTATCAAACACTGTACACCATACAAAATGTGGACAGAAAAGTAGCAACTGTCTCTTTAAGGAGCACTGATGTCCCCTCAGACCCCAGATGAGTCTTTCCTCTTACATCAATTGTTCTGAGGGTATCTCTGGGCAAGGGATTCCAAGATCTGCAATTAAGTAATCCCGGATGAGAACTAGTTGGGTGTTGCACCTGACCGCCCTCTCCCTTTTCTGGCCCAGGGGGTGTACAAGTACTCACACTGTCCTGTCCTGTTGCATGGATTGCTTCTGCTTTCAGGCCTTATGCTGGGCTGGCTCCTTCCCTGCTGACAGGATGTCCTCCCTAGGAGACGGTGGTACAGTGGAGATTATTCCATCCAGCACCAGCCTGTAGATAGACCTTCCTACCAGAATCCACACTCTAGTACCTTCTCTCAGTCCATCTTCCATGAAAACACAACAACAACAACCCTGCTGCCTGGCTTCCTGCCTGGGGTTTGGCCAGGTTCCCCAAAACATGCAATCCAGGCTTCCTCCCCTCCTCTGCCCCTCTTCTAGAAAGTTTCTCCAGTTTCTAGAAGGGTGGGAGGGCTCCAAAAGCCCTGACCTGTAGAGCCTTGCAGCCTGTCCTGAGGTGACCTCTCTACCTCACTCTCAGACTGACTCATCTCAGGCTCCTAAGAAGCCTCTGCCTCACAAAAAAAAACAAATGCTATCTAGGTACACCTAGAGGAAACAACATATAAGATGTTACATAGTTACATATAGTTACAGTACATAGTCTGGCTGAAAAAAGACAAAAGTTCATCCAGTTCAACCATAGAAAAAGTTATAATCCTATACCCACAGTTGATCCAGAGGAAGGAAAAAAAAAACAGCAAAGCACGACCCAATTTGCTCCTGCTGGGAAAAAAAAAATCCTTCCTGATTCCCCGAGAGACAATCGGATATTCCCTGGATCAACTTTACCTATAAATATTAGTATCCAGTTATATTCTGTGTATCCAAGAAAGAATCCAGGCCTTTTTTGAAGCAATCCACTGAGCTGGCCAGAACCAACTCTTGAGGGAGACTATTCCACATTTTCACCTACCTGATATGATTTTCAAAACTGTGTAAAACAGAACTTTAGATATGTGCCTACATTATTAAAGACAATAAAAACAATTCTGATTCATAAAATGGGTTTTATTGCGTTTTGAAAAAAGGAGGTTATGTTGCTGCACCCTGTATTTATACATGTTGATTATATCCCCCCTTAATCTCCTCTTCTCAAGAGAGAATAAATTCAGTTCCTCTAATCTTTCCTTATAGCTGATCTCCTCCATGTCTCGTATCGTATTGTATTAGTTTCCCTTCTCGGTACTTTCTCAAGTTCCCCAATGTTCTTTTTGTGAATTGGTGCCTAAAACTGAACTTCATATTCCAGATGAGGTCTTACTCATGTGATAATGCCATGGCTGGAGCAGACAGACAGATGCAAATGACTAAAAACAAAAGTGGATTGTAGTGAGCGCTCTTGTATAAACACAGCAGCTAGAACACCTAAGGCAACCACAATGCCTTTAAATGCAAAATGTAAACGAGGGTAATATGATGCAAATGACTAATCAGTTTATCTACCTGGCATAGAAAATTGGCTTGTTTGTAAACTTTTCTTGTCTGTGTCTACTTTGTAAGACTTCCCCTTTACCCCTGTTCCAGTGACAACTGTATCATTTTGGATTCCCTTTTACTTTGGATTCCCCAAGACAAATACTGAAGATAGATCTACCGTCACGTGAAAACTAAATTCTCCTATCCTTCACAGCCTTTGAAGTTGCCATCTAAGCCTCTGTTTGGTGCTGCACATGTGATCAGTTATGACACCAGCCATTTGATAGCTTGGCAGTTTGGTTGCGTGTACAAGCTACTGTGACAGTTATCATTCACAGCATGCCTCTGTTTTGGAAAATCTATAAATTGATGGGTTTTGTTACACTTTAATGGGAAATGGTTACATCTTGAAGAACATGACACAAGTTTCAGCCATCTAAGTGTCTACTATATGTTATTTCTTCTATGGAACCAAGTTTTGGGAGCCAAATTCTATTAGCGGTATCAGAGAGTCAACAGGCAGCCATGTTTTTTTTGCCACTAGATGGCATTTGCATTTCATTTGTGTTTATTATCTACAGCATTATTTCCCAAAAAGTAGGGGTTTATTTAAAAAAAAAATCACTGTGAGAATGCCTAAGCATCTACACAGCTGTTGCAAATAATCCCTGTAATGTGTCTAATACGTGTATATCCTATGATCATCATCTCCATATAGTGGCACTAATGCAGTATTCTTCTGATTTTGGTATATCAAGAAAATGCCACATTATGGCCACTAGATGGAGCTGACGATCTGAGGCAATACACATATTAGTTACAATATGGGGATTATTCATGACAGGTATGCAAGTACTGGGGCATTTGTATTGCTAGGTTTGTTTATAAATAGACCTCTAGTGTGGCACAAATATATTAGGGTCTGATCTTACCATTAGTGCTCTCAATGCTCTGGCCCTCTACTAATGTGCAGATGAGTATGAATCGCCATGCACATGGTCTCCCTGCCCAAAGTTGAAGTAACACTAAACTCATATTTTAACAAAATAAATGCAATATGTTTAAATATAAATAGAATGGGCTTTCTATCTTTGTCTTCCTTGTTTTATCTCTTAAATGCAAGCTTTTTTCTGCTATTCTCAGACTTCCTGTTCTGTTGTGGCTACGTTTGTTCTCCATTTCCCCCTTGTGTATGCGAAAGTAGCCATGCTCTCCTGCTTATCCCCGAGATGGACTACATGTGCAGACACATTCAACTCTGTGGGAATTATAGTACACATAGGACGAATCATGTGATCAGAAATAATAGTAATGCACCATCAACATTTGTAGTGGGACAAGAAGCCTAAAAAACAACAGTTAAAGACTTAAAAAAACAGAGCCATGGTATACTTGATACTTTAAAATGACTGATGTAAAAAATGAGTTCAGTGTCACTTTAAATAGTTAGCACTGTAAAAAAGAAATTTCACAATTTAGCGCAGGGTTTCCAATTCTCATTCTCATAATCATTAAAAGCCCTTTGTGCTTGATTAATTCAGCTGGTTCCGAAATTTAGATACTTACATAGTCTGATCCATAACGTGCAACTTGCTTCAGATAGTTAACACCTGCTTTACAAGACATCAAGAGGAGACGGGAAAAACGTTTAGCATTTTTCAGCACCAATCAGGCAAGGAGTGAAAGCGATTCTTGGCCCCACTTTGAGATTACAAAACAGTAGCACCATTAGAAAATAATGGAGAAGGCCTTCTGCCTAGAAGTGCACAGTATTCAAGTCTATGATACAGCAGGAGGAAATCCATACTAAACAGCATATACAGAGGAATATGCCGCTACTATTTTCAGACAACCATAGCTGCTATGGTTGTCTAAATACCTGAACAGTGGCTGCATCTGATAGAATGTGGTCACTGGTCAGCTGACAGTTGATTATTTAATCAAAGCTCCTTTGATTTTTCATTTAAAGTTTATCAACAAGGTAGTGCAGACAGGGCCACCCACAGCTCAAATTGTGTCCGATTCTACAGTGCTCTTAATGCAGCTTAAGTTTCTGAGGGCCCTAATGCAGTTTTACCGTCTACCTATATGACATTATAGATTATTATGGGGGATGTGATCACCTTCTTTACCCATTGCCCTCCAGAGGATTTACCCCCTTCCTGACCAGGCCATTTTTTTGCAATACGGCGCTGTGTTACTTTAACGGACAATAGTGCGGTCATGCAACACTGTACATAAATTAAATGTTTGTCCTTTTTTTTTCCCACAAATAGAGCTTTCTTTTGCTGGTATTTGATCATCTGTGCATTTTTTTTATTTTTTGCACTGTAAACAAAAAATAGACCAACTATTTTGAAAAAAAGCCCAATATTTTTGACTTTTTGCTATAAAACATATCCAGTAAACAATTGAATAAATCAAATTTCGTCATAAATTTAGGCAAAATGTATTCTGCGACATGTCGTTGCTAAAAAAAAATCCCAATACATGTAAATTAATTGGTTTACGTGAACGTTGTAGCATCTACAAATTACAGTATATATAGTTGAATTTTTATTTACATTTTTTATACTAGTAATGGTAACGATCAGTGACTTACAGCGGGACTGCGGCATGCATTCTGACACTGGGTGGGAACTGACTGTCACTGACGTCCCAATGACACTAATACAGTGATCAGTGTTAATATAAAGCACTGACACTGGACAGGAAGGGATTAAGATCTGGGGCGATCAAAGGTTAACTGTGTACTGTTTTACATAATGTGCTGTGCGTGTTTTATTAGGGAAACATGCTGCTGTGTATTTATATGCTGCTATGCAGATAAATACACAGCAGCATGTTCTTGCTGGCAGGAGAGAGACCTGTGTTGTTGACATCCGTAGCCGCAAACGGCAGCATGGGTAGGGTGGCGCCTGCGTGCCCCCTGTCCAGTAATGAAAAGCACATATATATAGATGATTTTGCGCAGCCCTGCTGCCCTGTAGCAGTAGTTCTACTATAGGGCGGCAGGCAAGCGATTAAATACATATGTGGTCCATATAATGGACTGGGTGTGGAGTTAACTTTCAGGTCATTACAGAAGACAAGGGGGTTTTGTATACATCTGGAGGAAAAGAGATTTAACCTCCATGTGCACAAAGACTCCTTTACAGTGAGAGCTGTGAAAATGTGAAAGAACCCAAGAACTAGTTCTAGCCTGCTTAGTAGATTAATTTAAAAAAAGAGCTTGATGCTTTCTTGAATGGCACAAATTATTACCGAGTATTGATATAGGAAGTAGATGATCCAAGGAATATCTGATTGCCTCCTGCAGGATAAAGAATGATTTTTTTCCCTACTGGAGCAATTTGTATCATGTTCTATTGGGTTTTTTTTTTGTGTTTGCCTTCCTCTGGACCAACTGTGGATAAAGGATTGTGTTGTTCTTTTTATTGGTTGAACTGTTAGAACTTTCTACCCATGATGATCTCCATCCTGCTATATAGACTACTGGTTCAATAGCTGACAAGCAATCTGATGAATGATTTTATCTCAGTCTAGGTAATTCAATTGTTTATGAAAAGGAATCTCATTGTACAGGATAAACTACAGATACTTTGAGATCTTTCTGCAGAGCAGGTCAGAACAACCAGGTCTCCATTTATCCCTCAAAATGGTAGTAATATGAATTCAGACTAATGCTTTAGTGTAATGTATTAGCTACTCAACAGAAACGTCAATTTAACCACATGAAAATAAAAAGGACGCTTCCCAGGAGCATTATCAGATGTCAGTTACTATTATGGTTTGTAGGCATTTGTTTCACTGCAGAATGCAAATATGAACTCTGGCAGAACAAGACTAGCTGATAGCTTTATTTTACCAGATGTTATTCAGCACGTCAAAGCTTCTTAAAAAAAAATCTGGTTTTACAAGAAGTGAAACAGCTTTCTTTAACAATATGGTTTTTACAATAGTGCTTTGACTCATATGAAACACAGGAAATAAATGCATTCATTACTGACATCCTTTTCTCTAAGCGTTCCTTCGGTTGACAATAAAGAGGTTTGGTTGGTAAAATCAAAGACACAAAATAACATATCACTTTGAAATACTGAGTACATGACATAAATAAGCCACAAGAAATAAGATAGCTTGGAGGTGAACATCCTGTAACTGCGTTTACTAGAGAAACTAGGTTATCTAAAGGGTCATTCCGCACACAAATATTTCAGCATTTGGTAGATGTTGAAGAATGTATCCACCTGAATATCTCTGGGGGACTCTATTGATGAAATACTCTACACATTTCCATCTCTGTTGTGAGCATTATTAGCAGTTCCCATTCTCCTTGTTGGATTAGTTTATGGGAAGCAGAATACAATAGGAACACACAATGGTGGGCAAAAACACACAACTCCCTAATGTACAAGTCAGGAATTATGGCAGAAAATTTTTGCTACTGGCGTATCCAAGACATATAAAAGCAAAGCCAAAGGATGACCACCTGAAATTGTTAGTCCACTTATAATGGTTTTGTGAATCAATCAATTTCATGTAATGCTTATGTGATTTAGGCTGTGTTCTTCCCACTGGTACATCTCTTTGTGCGGTCTATGTGATGTGCCCTTTCTTAAATAAAGAATGTAAAAAAAAAAATCACCTTTGGGTAGACCAGCCCTTTAAAAAGGAACTGAGCTTTGGAAGCTATGACCAAAACACAGCCAAAGTACTAATCACCCCTTTTGCTTCTGGCCCCCCTGCAGCTGAGCTTTCTCCATTACTGACTTACCCTGCCTTTGAACTACACTGTTTTTCTGTGTGGTGGTGGACATCCAGGTAGAGGAAGGGTTTTTGCTTCATGTCAGAGCTTCCAACAAGGAGAACAGTGAATAGCACAGTTATGGCACCAAATCTCACTCTAAATCTCATAAGATTAGTGGCCAGAGGTGGCAGTGCCTTATATCTCACGCTGCAGGTACAGGAGTACCTAGGCACACTCACACACCAGGAATTACACTGCTTTTTTTCAGGAGGTTGCATTTTTAAGGGTACTGTCTAGACAGAACTAACATTTTTAAATGTTCTCTATAACAGCAAACCTTCACTTTTTGAGTTCAAATCCACTTTAATAATTACATAAAAGAAGAGCGGTAATGCTTACAACAGGAAACAGGCTGAATAAAAAGGAAGTGAACACCATATGTGCTGCACCTTGTATAAACCCTAAAGTGGTGGTAAAGCTTTGTTTTTTGTTTTTTATTAAAATAACAAACATGCCATACTTACCTGTTCTGTGCAATGGGTTTTCACAGAGCAGCCCCAATCCTCCCCTTCTTGTTCCCCTTGCCCCCCGGTGCTCCTGGCCACTCCCCCCTTCCGAGTGCCACCAGAAAAAGCTGCTTGCTCTGGGGTCACTTGTGCTTGCTCACTGCTGAGCCACCTCTGTGTCTCTATAAGACATACAGATCGCAGTTCAGGCCTGCCACCTGCTCCTTCTCACTGGCTGTGATTGACAGCTACAAGATTTCCTCCCACTGCTGAGTATCAGCCAAAGAGGAGAGAGAGACCTGGGAGAACTAAGGCTCTCATGCACAGTGCTGGATCGCGATCAGGCTCTGGTAAGTATTCGGGGGGCTGAGTGGGGAGCTGCACACTGAAGGTTTTTTACCTTTATGCATAGAATGCATGGAGGTAAAAAACCTTCAGCCTTTAGATTCACTTTAGGAGGGAGAAAAAGGTGTGATTTCATCATACAGGGATGTGGTCTGCCAGAGGGGGTTAGATAAAACTGTTATGTTTAGATAGACAGTTTCCAAGTTGATTTGAAGCAGAGCCGAATTATTATAGATGATTTTGGGGGGGGGCAAGTACCAGTCATGTCAGTAGGGTTTAGTTGTATGAAGCAATGTAATGAATTCTAAAGGGAACTAAAGAAAGATACTTCATTGAAAATCAAAAAATATATTATAGTAAACAACATACCTTACTTTTTAAAGCAGGGTTGGAAATGAAGTCTAACGTTGGCCATGGATGTTCGATTCCCAGCTGGTTCAGCAGGGACTGGGCGAGATTGGAACATCTATCGGCAGGCTTACTGTACCCAAGTCAAATGTTGTACGATTTTGGTACAACCAGTATGTTAGATTTTTAATCTAACATACTGTGGGAGAACACAATAGCTCTGTGGTGGGGATTCCCCCATCAACACTGACTGTGTTGATGGTGGAATCAAGAAAATCACATCATGTATGGCCTGCCTATGAAAGCACTATCAATCTCTGGTGAATAAAGACCTCTTTACCATAAAGTGAAAGTGGTGTTTAACAATTCTTAAATAAGTGAGGAACATCCTCATTACATGAATAATAACTGATCCATGATAAAATTGCACATATGATTGCACTTCATTACAAAGTTTGGTTGAAAAAACATACAAGTCCAGGGAAATCAGTTCTGCTTGTAAGCTGGAGACAATTTATAAGGGTTTTGGTACACTACGTAATTTAGTGTCATCTGCAAGCAGAGAAATTATGCATTTAATCCCAAACTCTATATAATTTATAAAAAGGTTAAAAAGTAAGGGTCCCAACACTGAACCTTGGGGTACACCATCTATAACCTTAGACCAATCAGAGTATGAATTATTAACCACTACTCTCTCTAAATATTTTCTTTATGACAGTTTTCTATTAAGTTTTGTAAACCTATAGACTTTAATTTACACATTAGCCATTTGTGGGGAAGTCAAACGCTTTTTCAAGGTTCAAGTATACTATACCCACAGCCACTCCTTTGACTAAATTTTTGCTTACTTCCTCATAAAAAAAGGTCGATTTGCTAGACAACTTCAGTCCTTTGTGAATCTATGCTGACTATCACTTAGAATAATACTTTCTACCCTCCTAGGTCTCCTGCTATTTTATGCCAGAAAGTTATTGTGCATAAGTAAAAATCGAGCCAAACACCTACTCTAGCATTTTGGAAAAAAAAATGGTTAATTCAGCTGTCCCCCTTTATAAGATGACCTACTTATCTAGGGGTTGCCCCAAAAAGTTTGAAAATGTATGGAATCTTTGGTTGACACCTTCCTCTACTACGAATTCCATAGAAGATGGTACTGAATCCTCAACTAATACTGGGTGACTGTTTTGACCTTGAATATATTTATGCACTACTACACTGCATGTGGTAATGTTTGTTTCTTGCAAAATCTGTAGGGATTGGCTAATTACAATTTATAACCCTATTCCTGATGTTTATACATGTGCTAGGGGGTACGTCCATCTAGTCATTCAGGCTGTTCACACATCTTGGTAGCCAGTCCAGCCTTGTGTAGGTCTACAATCTTGTCCCTGACATCTTTGGACAGCTCTTTGGTCTTTGCCATGGTGGAGAGTTTGGAATCTGATTGTTTGATTGCTCCTGTGCACATGTGTCTTTTATACAGGTAACAAAATGAGATTAGCAGCACTCCCTTTAAGAGATTGCTTTTAATCTCAGCTTGTTACCTGTATGAAAGACACCTGGTAGCCAGAAATCCTGCTGAATGATAGGGGATCAAATACTTATTCCCCTCATGAACATGCAAATCAGTGCATAATTTCTTAGACATACATTTCTTTAGAATTTTTTTGTTGCTATTCTGGCTCTCAGGTTTACAATACACCTACCATTCGATTTTTAGACTGATCATTTTTTTGTAAGTGGGCAAACAATCAAAATCAGCAGGGGATCAAATACTTATTTCCTTCACAATATATATATATATATATATATATATATATATATATATGAGATTTGTACTTCTTTTCTCCTCCCTTGTACATTTAAAATCTTGGTTTCTCCTTGAGTGGGTGCTCTTATTGACTTTTTGT